AATATAAAGAAAATAAGATACAAATAGATCAGACTGAGTCACAGATGTCTCGTTCTCTTTAAAGAGATCAAGCCTACTGCGGTAAAGAGAACCCAAATACCGATGCAACAGTCACAAAATTTTGACTTGTTCCCTCCAGGATACAACAGCCCGACCACTTGTCGTATGGTTCAGGCCAACTCTGCACAAGATGGTGAACCCAAAACTCTACCAAAAAAATACTTTTCTTTGCTAGTAATCTCTCTTGTATAGAAAATAGTTAGTGTGTTGGTAAGAAAAGAGTAGATAAGAGAAACCATTTATGGCCATTAGGACCTTACAAATTACACCAAAAATAATGATGACCATTAAACTAGAGAAATTGGAGAGACTCCAAATAATAACTCACCACCAAGTTTATGAATTCTAATTAATCTCCATTCACGAACAAGATGAGATTCATAAATAAAACAAAAGAAGATTCATGAACAAAAATATATAAATAAATAAATAAATGGTATTAAAATGATACAACACCAACTATTAAAATTTCAAAATTTGTAATAAGGCACTAATCTTAACCATTTGATCTCTTATACAATTGTTAGATTTTCTTTTGATAATAACTGATCTAAGTCATCTAAATATCCACATAAGACAAATGTCCCTAATATATTTTTAAAATCAGTCATGTTTTATTATATAGATTACTCTCCAATTAATTTTAAAAAATTCAATTACTATCAATTTTCGAGCACTAGTTTATATCTACTCTCTCCAAGTAGGCCTTGGCAATATTAATAACGTGGAACACGAGTTTCCCTTGGTTCCATCCGTTACATTAGGAACGCGGACCACGAGTTTTACCTATGTTGAGGTATCACTTTGCAAATCGTTTGACATCTCAAAAAAGTTACATTTTTAAATATTTTTTTTGTTTTGTTTTTAGTAATTTTATTTTTTGGATTCATTTATGCTAAACAAAAATTTTATTAAAAAAATTAAAAAGTCAACTATTTATTATCATTACTTTCTTATTATTGATTTTTTTTTTTCAAAATTTTAATTTATTTTTCACTTTCCTAATTAGTCGAACAAAGCTTGAAAGCTAAATATTTTTTTAAAAAAATACTATTAAATTTTTTTTCTAAAACGATCAATCTCTCAAACAAGCAAAATAATAATTGAAAAATGATTCATTTATACAATTTCTCTCCCAAAATTTCCTTAAATGATGTGACAAGTAAAATTTGAAAAGTTAACTCACATGCAAATATTTTCTCAAAATTTTTGATATTCTGTCTTGTCATCTCATTATGGGGTTATAAGGAGAAGAAATTTTGTGGATGCAACATTGTTGTTAATAATTAATGAAACAAAAATACACCAACTACATTTTAGGGGTAAATTATTTTAATATAGTTATACGCATCGATTGATATATCATTAGAATATTAACGAATGATGTGATATAATTTTATTGATTTTGAGCCTTTATAATTTGTATAATGAGTGAGATTCATAATTTTAAAATTATAATATCAAAGCATATATTGATATATCAATTGATATAATAATTAATGTGTGTAATATCACTGAAACTACACACATTAATTATTATATCAATTGATGTATCAATATCACTGATACATCAATTGATGTATTATATCAAAGTGTGTAATATCACTGAAACTAACCCCCAAGGGTTGGCTTAGTGGTGGAAGTTTGGGACTTAGGAGTTTGCTTCTCTCTAGGTTTCAGGTTCAAAACCTCTTAGGTGCTATTAACTCTTGTGTTGGGCCAGTCCATACGGAGCTCTGCTTTGGATTTAAATGAGCCCCCCGCTAATGGATGGGTACGGAGCTTTGCACTGGCTTTAAATGGGCCCCCCGCTAGTAGACGGTGGGATTGGTCCCGCAGGGATTAGTCTGGGCCAGTCCATATGGAGCTCTGCTCTGGCTTTAAATGGGCCCCCCTCTAGTGGGTCCATACGGAACTCTACTCTGTTTTTAAATAGGCCTCGTGCTAGTGGACGGGCTTTAAATGGGCCCCCCGCTAATGGATGGGTACGGAGCTCTGCTCTGACTTTAAATGGGCCCCTCGTTAGTGGACAGTGGGATTGGTCCCCCAGGGATTAGTCTGGGCCAGTCCATACGGAGCTCTGCTTTGGCTTTAAATGGGCCCCCTCTAGTGGGTCCATACGGAGCTCTGCTCTGACTTTAAATGGGCCCCCGCTAGTGGACGGGTACGGAGCTCTGCTCTAGCTTTAAATGGGCCCCCTACTAGTGGACAGTGGGATTGGTTCCCCAGGAATTAGTCGAGGTACGCACAAACTGATCCGGACACCCTGAATTATCAAAAAAAAAAATAAATCACTGAAACTGTTTAGTAGTATTATAATATAATACCATGTGAGATTTATTTAGGTAGCATGTCAAATTAATCACATAATAGGAAAGTAAAAAATCACCGTACATAGCATGAATGCTACCTACTTCGCCATGGTTTGGCAAAATTACACCTAGTCCCCAATGGTTTTATATATAGGTAGGGATTTTTTTTTGGGCATGGCTTTGGTCCAGTCCTTAATTGGATTGGACCGTATTGTTGGGTCCGTAGAGGCGCACCACGGGTCTCGTTTTGATAATTTGAACCATTCAATGTGTAGAACTCGTCGAGTACTATATGTTTGTAAAAAATCACGTTAATCGGATATCGATAGTTATGTGATCAAATCAGTTTTGTATAAAAAAAATAGACGGTGAATAAATTAACGGTTGACAAAAATCTGTTTTGATCACATACCTATCGATATCCGATCAATGTGATTTTTTATAAATATATAGTACACAACGAGTTTTACACATTCAACGGTTCAGATTATTAAAACGGGACCCGTGGTAAGCCTCCACGAGCCCAACAGTACGGTCCAGTCCGATTAAGGACTGGACATAAGCCATTCCCTTTTTTTTTATTTATATTTTTCATTTTTCGCAGATATAATATCATTTCAATTACTATCATATTTCTCAAAAAGTTTCTTAAATAATCTATATAACTTCTCTCGGTTACTTACGTATGACAATAAAGGTGATAGTTACGAAAAATGAGTAAGAGTGATAAGTTTGACAAAGAGAAAAGATGAATAATCAGTGATATAACATGATTTATTAGTTGATATCATTAATAATGGAACAAAAATAATCTTTGGGATAATAGAACAAAGATAATCCCTTTTGGGGATAAAGAAGCCTAACTCTATTGCATCACGAATTCTAATATATTTTTGACAGGATAATATTGTGACGATCAAATCTAATTATCAAAATGATGTGTCATCACCATATTTATAGAATTGATGACATGTAAATGTTACTTCATTTAGTAAGCAAAACTTTAGAGATTGTAGCATTAATCTTTATAAAATCTTAATGACCTAAAATTAACTCTATACAAACTATTTGTTATTTTGTCAAAACTTGGAGTACAAATGGTTGGATGTGATGTTTTGTTTTTTGTGGCTAAAATAGCCTATTTTGTCTTTTGTGGCTAAAATAGTCAAAAAAGCCCCAAAATTTTCTTCCCAAACGTAGGACTTCTCTCGGTTACTTACGTATGACAATAAAGGTGATAGTTACGAAAAATGAGTAAGAGTGATAAGTTTGACAAAGAGAAAAGATGAATAATCGGTGATATAACATGATTTATTAGTTGATATCATTAATAATGGAACAAAAATAATCCTTGGGGTAATAGAACAAAGATAATCCCTTTTGGGGATAAAGAAGCCTAACTCTATTGCATCACGAATTCTAATATATTTTTGACAGAATAATATTGTGACGATCAAATTTAATTATCAAAATGATGTGTCACCACCATATTTATAGAATCGATGACATGTAAATGTTACTTCATTTAGTAAGCAAAACTTTAGAGATTGTAGCATTAATCTTTATAAAATCTTAATGATCTAAAATTAACTCTGTACAAACTATTTGTTATTTTGTCAAAACTTGGAGTAGAGATGTCAGGATTATGATGAAGAGATAAGAAGGATCAGCATTTGTAAGAATTTAACTATAAAAAATTAATAACAAATAGTTTTTACAAAATATAACAAATACTATTTTTTTTCCCTGTTTTTACGTGACTGCCCTTAATTTCATTACTTGTAATGTGTATACTTGAAAAATGTAAATATAATAGAAATTTAAATTCTTTTTAGAATAAAATTTTAATTAAGATTTTTGTATTAATTTATAACCCTTATGAATATTTATTTATTTTTTAAATTTTATTAAACAAATATGAATTAAGAGATTTATATATTTATTTACTTAATAGATTTATATATTTAAAAAAAATTAAAAGACTCAATCTATATCTATAATTTAAGAAGAAAATAAATATGCAAATAAAAATTTTATACATAATTTTTATACCTAATAAGGTGACTCGGCCTCGTTTGGGAAGGCTCTGTTTTAGCCAAAAAGTCAAAAAGTTACTAAATTAGCTAATTAGCCAATTAGTCATACCAAAAAGTCAACAATTACGGCTTCTCTCTACTTTTTGCACAGCTTTTCGTAATTAGTCAAAAAGTCATCCCAAACATACAAGTTTTTTTACCTACCTTTTTAGCCAATTAGCCAAAAAGTTACTAAATTAGCCTGTTCCCAAACGAGGCTATGATCATTCACTTTTAAAACAAAATACTATTGAAGATGTATATATTTATAATAGTGATATTGTCATATTATGCTTTTGTTTGTGATGTAGGCTGGTTTTTTAATTTTTTTTAGTCTGGGGTTAAAAAATCTCGTTTGAAATAAATTTTTTAATTTTTCTAACTTTTGTAAAATAAAAAATTAAATAGTTATGATTTGAATGTAATATTTTATTTTATTAATTTTTTAATTTATTTTATCTTTTTGTACTTAAAAAAATCAAAAATCAAAAATAAAAAAATCCAGGCCAAACCTAGCCTATTTGCGAAAAGTAAAATTAAATAGAATGTGTAGGCAGATGAACCAGCATAAACTAATATATAAAGAGAAACCCCTAAATTGTTCTTTCAAAAGGAGTTATTTCTCTCTCTTGAATTCGTTCCTGCAGTGCTTCACGCTTCTTCACCACCCTCTTGTTTGTTTGCTGATTTGAGGCCATTTAATCAGGTACCAACACGTTTATCTCACAAACTATGTTCCTTCAAATCAAGGTCTCTATAAAGAGTAGACTTCTAAACCATGTCTTCAATCTCACTCAATGCTTTGTGAACCAACCGAGCACGTTGTTTCTGATCTTTGAAGCTTTCTTTTTTGACCCAAAATTGGTAAAACTCTCGTGATGTAAACCCCCATTATCACTCTCAACCCACCAACTAAGATATGATTGCTTTGTTTTATTTGAAAAATTCGATTTTTGGCATTTTCTGTGACTTGGGTTTTGCTTATGAACTTCGGTTGGTTTGCTTGATTTATTTGAAAATTCGATTTTTGGGCATTTTCTGTGACTTGGGTTTTGTTAAAAACCCATATTTGAGTAATGGGTTTTGTTGATTGTTTTTGCAAGATTGTTTTGGAATATTAAAAGAAAGTCATTTATTTGGTGTGTTATTATATGTGTTGTTTGTTAAACTGACGTTTTATGAACTTTAATGAAAGGGGTACTGTTTTTTAAGACTGATTTTAATAAGTTGTTTTTCATTTTTTAATAATGAAAAGGTTGTTCAATTACCGTGGTTGTTACTGATTTTGGCACTTTGCTTAGTTTGGGAGAGTCCATGGGCGTAAATCTTATTTGGGTTTTGGGTATTTATTATTTAAGGTTTTGCTGAGGTGAAGAGATCATATTCATTGTGTGGTGTGCAGTTTTCAAGTGAAAAGATAGGCATTAAGGTAATTATGGTCTAAACTTCAATTTGGAATAAACTCTTATGTGACTTACTTACATGATTTCAGTTTGTTTGATTGTGATTGGTTCTTTTGTTTTAAAAAATGTTGTGCTAAGTTTCTATGAATATGTGATACTTGCATCTGATAATTTACCTCTGTTGATTGCTTTTTGTGGATTGTACACCTGAATTAATGTGTGTATAACATTCCAGATTGTAGTAATCTAAGATCTCTAATTCTATTGATCAGTTATCATTTTTCACGTCTTGCACTCCAGGTTTGTTTGGATTTTGGATTTGTATAGAGTTTTGTGGAGGGAAAGGGAAAGGTGACAAAAAAACTGAACAAACTCTACCCAAATCCAAGATCAAACATCCCTTAGTTGCATGCCTGGTTTGCTTTTGGTTTCACAAGGTTTTTGGGAGTTATAAATTAAGCAAATCTTTTATGGAGGAAAAGGAAAACAAAATGTTAGCAATTTTTCGTAGTTCTTCAAACCTCTTCTTCTTTTATCTGTTCACTGATTATAACAAATTATATGTTCTTTGGATTGTTTTGACCCAAGACCAATGATCAACCAATTATATGTTCTTTGGATTGTTTTGAGCCAATACCAACTTATGACAAATTACAAGTTACAGAGCTTTTTCGCCTCTTTGCGTTTGTGTTTATATTCTAATTTGCTTCTGTTTTGTTCTTAAGGAAATATCAGGGAGGCCTTGTTTCATCTTCAGTAACTCAGTTGAATGACACTAGTCATGAGATAGTAATAATGACTATGTCCAAACTTTAAATTAGACAGAAATGGGAATAACCATGGTGCTCCACATGTTTCTGTTGATTTTACACACCTAAATTACAGAGATTATGGAAAGATATTGTGATAAGATTTGATGTTGCAAACCAATAATTAAAAAATATATATATATATATATATTTCTGCAGCCATTAGATCCAATGTAAATTTTAAATGCAAATCTTCATAACAATTTAACCTAGGTAGTTTCGTTGGATACCTTTCCATGTCTTTGTAAACATCTTCCATCTTTGAAACGTTTAGATTCTTAATTTTAAAATTTTTCCTGGCTGACTGTATTTACACATTACATATACAAAAATGCAATTCTTCATAACAATTTAACCTTGGTAGTTTTGTGGGATACCTTTCCATGTCTTTGTAAACATCTTCCATCTTTGAAACATTTAGATCCTTAATTTTAATTTTTTCTTGGCTGACTGACTGTATTTACACATTGCATATACTAAAAGGTTAGTATTGAAGAAAATTGAATTTTGTTATCTGACACATCCCTTATTTCTTGATCTCTCTAGTGAAGAAAAAAAATGGTGAAAATCTGTTGCATTGGAGCTGGGTATGTTGGAGGGCCTACCATGGCAGTTATTGCCCTCAAATGCCCCAAAATTGAAGTAGTTGTTGTTGACATCTCGGTTCCTCGGATCACAGCTTGGAACAGTGACCAACTACCTATATATGAGCCTGGCCTCGATGATGTGGTGAAGCAATGCCGTGGAAAGAATCTCTTCTTCAGCACCAATGTTGAACAGCACGTCTCAGAGGCTGACATAATCTTTGTTTCTGTCAACACCCCAACCAAAACCCGAGGGCTTGGGGCTGGTAAAGCTGCAGACCTCACATACTGGGAGAGTGCAGCCCGGATGATTGCTGATGTGTCAAAAAACAACAAGATTGTTGTTGAGAAATCAACTGTACCAGTGAAAACAGCCGAGGCAATTGAGAAGATCCTCACCCACAATAGCAAGGGCATCAAATTTCAGATTCTTTCAAACCCGGAATTTCTTGCTGAAGGAACTGCAATTCAGGACCTTTTTAACCCCGACCGTGTTCTCATTGGTGGGAGAGAGACCCCTGATGGGCAAAAAGCAATCAAAGCCTTGAAAGATGTTTATGCTCATTGGGTGCCCGAAGAGAGGATAATATGCTCCAATTTGTGGTCAGCCGAGCTCTCAAAGCTTGCCGCCAATGCCTTCTTGGCTCAGAGGATTTCATCAGTCAATGCCATGTCTGCTCTCTGTGAGGCAACTGGGGCTGATGTTTCACAGGTTTCCCATGCTATTGGCACAGACTCTAGAATTGGGCCTAAGTTCCTCAATGCCAGTGTTGGCTTTGGTGGATCGTGTTTTCAAAAGGACATTCTTAACTTGGTTTATATCTGTGAGTGCAATGGCCTTATTGAAGTCGCAAATTATTGGAAACAAGTCATTAAGGTCAACGACTACCAAAAGAGCCGTTTTGTGAACCGGGTTGTTTCCTCAATGTTCAACACAGTCTCGGGTAAAAAGATTGCCATTCTCGGCTTTGCCTTCAAGAAAGACACTGGTGACACAAGGGAAACACCGGCTATTGATGTGTGCAAGGGACTTTTGGGAGATAAGGCTCGTTTGAGCATATACGACCCTCAAGTCACTGAAGATCAGATTCAAAGAGATCTGTCAATGAACAAGTTTGACTGGGACCATCCGGTGCACCTACAGCCAATGAGTCCCACCACAGTGAAGCAAGTTAGCGTAGTTTGGGATGCTTATGAGGCTACAAAAGACGCTCATGGACTCTGCATTCTCACCGAGTGGGATGAATTTAAAAAGCTTGATTTCCAGAAGATTTTTGATAATATGCAGAAACCTGCATTTGTGTTTGATGGTCGGAACGTTGTGAACGCTGACCAGCTGAGGGAGATTGGATTTATCGTTTATACTATTGGGAAGCCGTTGGATTTGTGGCTCAAGAACATGCCTGCAATGGCATGAGCTCTGCTGTGTTTCTTCTTCCATATTTGGGTCAAAGAGCTTAGAATTGAACATTGTGAAAGGAACTTTTGATTATTTGAAACTGTTCTTTCCTTGATGGATTTATCATTTATAGTTGAGTTTGGCCTTATAATAATGTACTAAAACATATTTCTTTTTTTTTTAGTGAAAATTGCAGCTGTGATCTGTAATCACAATAGTTACAGAAGGTTTAATTTTTAAAGTTGGACTGAATGATTGATTAGTTTTTGTGCTATCTTTTGAGGTTGGAACAGTGCCAATGGTCGCCAATTTATGTCTATATTCCAAGAAAACAACTCTCCAGGATGACCAAATCATAAAGGAAGTTGGAAATTTCAGAATTCTGAACTGTATGATTTCATTTTTCCTTTTGCCCATTCATTTTCTCGACAACCAAACAAAAAATGGTAAAGATCCTGTTGTTGGAAGGCTTCAAATTTATGAGTTTTAAGTGAAACGAGGCTTTCCCAGTATATTTGATTGATGTCGTCTAAATGCTTAACTTTGGTGTTATAACTAGAAGATAAAAAAAGTGGAATGTTTAAAATGAAGTTTTTTTTATTTTTTGGATCGAAACAGTGGATTAAAGGTTTTTGTTTTTCTTTCTTTTTGATTGAAACAAGTGGATTAAAATAAAAAAATAAACAAGTGGATTGAAGTTAAAATGGTATGTTTATCTTGTATCACTGGTAGGATAGATTTGTGTAAAACCTTTTATTAAGAAGCAAGATCAAAGAAAATGTCAAAGATGCAATCCACACTTTCTAGTGTGAATTTGGTTATATGTGCAACTTGGGTTGCTTCAAATCAACTCTCCCATTGACTTTAATTTTAAAATTGAATATTAAGGATTAAAATGACATAAAATTCATACTTTGAGAATTAAAAAGTAATTAACCTTAATCTTTTTAGGAAAACTTATTGGAAAATCTTCTTTTAAGTATTTGTATCTCAATTATTTTATAAGATATTCTTATATTTTAATAAGTCCTATTACTTTGGACATTTGATTTACCAAATTTTAATTCTAATATTTAAGATATTTTATAGACAATTTTACTCTTATAAATTTTTTGAACCCTTAGCAACTTGGTGATGTGAATATTTACACTGTCAATGTGAACATTAATGCGTATTTTATCCTATTATTATTAGGAATATTTTGGTAACTATGTCACCTATAAACCTTATTAAAACATAAAAAAAATAATTTAAATTAAGTGAAATACACAAATAAAGAAAAATTTATAAATAAATATCTCATTTTTATTTGTTCATAAATTTGACAAAATTGAAACTAACCAATAATTCAAGGCTGCATTTTTAGAGGGTGGCTTGGGCGATCAACCTAACCAATAAATCAAATCATGCCTTAGTTTCACTAGTCATTTAATTTGCGATAAATCTTGAGACCACGAAAAAATGCTCTCCAATCTTATCGGAGGCTTACATTTGGCTATAATTATTTTTATTTATTTATTGTAATTATTTAAAAAAAAATTAGTTAGACCACTAAATCTGGTTGTCTAGCATTCTCTGGTGACAAAATTCGTTACACTTTTTGTGGTCTATAAAAGCACTATTAAATTTGTTTCCACCCCCAGTTTCACTCAACTAAGGGCGTCTCTAACATTTAAGTTTATTATTTATATTATTATTATTATTATTATTATTATTATTATTATTATTAAATTTAAATAAAAATTTAAGTAAAAATTTCATCCGATATTATGCATTTCAACAGAGCAATTTAAGATTTCATCAAACCACTGGTCGACCAAAAGGACATCTTTCGGTCGTTTAACCAGTCGACCAACTAGTGTAATTTTTACATATTCTGAAACAAATTTTTGTGAGGAGGTGGTCGTCCAGTGATGATGTATGCTCTACATTTTCAACGGCTATGTATAGTAAATTGATGAAAGACATAGGCATCCTTAATTTGATAAAAAGTTTAAGATATCCTAAATTTGATACTGGTTTAGTGTACACGTTGGAGGAATGAAAGTCTACTTTTTTCATCAAATCTAAATTTGATAAAAGAAAAGGTAAAACGTTGGAAATAGTTTGAATATGGGTATTACAAATATAACTCTTGAAATTTGTTTGAAATACGAATCGCTTTCTATAGTTTTAAAAATCGCTTTCGTCGCTGTCCGTACTCCTTGCATTCAAGCTTCGTGTCTATTCGATCAACCTGAAAACACAACGACGGTGAGCTACCCGGCAGTTTGTTGCCAAAAAACCCCTCTGACGGTCAAGTTAGCATACACTCTAAGAGAGAGGAGCTCAATCAATGTTAAAGTTTCTCTCACCAATTGATGTTCCATCCTCAACATGGGGGGCGCAGTCAAGTTTATATACTTTCTGCGCTCACCTTTGCATCCATTCATATATTGACGCGTAGAGCTGCTCTCCAATCACACTTTCCCGCGTGTCAGCGCAAATTCAACTAAACACCACCTAATCAAACTGCCAAACGACATTGGCGTGAACATGCAGCCCGGCGGCACTACCTCGGCCTTTTACGACCGTATCGCTTAACGAAACAAACAGTGCTCCCTGCCGAGCTCCATTACGACCGAGCTCGGTAACACTCCGTTATGACCGAGCTCCTGCTAAGTTAGGCCGGCATATGAAGGACCTTGCATGTCGAGCTAATCGTGCGAGGAATAAAGCCCGAGCTAACAGAGAAGCATCTCGACCAAATGGGCCTTGGACTTCAACCGAGCAAACTTCCCCCCCGGCACGGCCTGGCCCAGCTCGGCCCAAACACGCTCGGACCACTCTTAGCTCGGCCAAATCTGCGGCCCAAGGCGTGATTATGAAATCTCCCTCTCAATTACCTCTTAATTTCGTTCGCGCTAGCGTGACTGGGATTACACACTCCTGTCGTGGTCGTCCCTCTGCCCGGTTGTATGCCGCAAGACATTAACCGTGTTAAGCCCCATGATCGATCTTGGACTTGCTCGATTGATGCCTCGACTTACCAACCCGTCTTTTCAATACTGACGCTGTTATCATGATGGACACGCGTCATTCACTCATTGGCCTCAAACGGCCAACCCATGTCGTTTCTTCACATTCAAATTTTGGCGCTCATTTCTCCCTTCTTATAGCCGTTACCTCTCAACTCGTTTTCCTTCTTGTTCAGTTCACCTTCTTCTGCCAAAACCATCCTGCGATCGAAAGCTCTCGCCCTCACTCTTCATTTTTGAGATCAGAGCGTCTACGTAAGTAAGTCCCACTCCGTCGTCGTCGCTGAGGGCCTCCATCCCACCACTTTGAGCCACCGTCAGTACTTTAGCCTGTAAGTTCTAAATCCTTCATTATTCTTCATTCGTTACTCTTCTTTTTCTTTTTTTTATATGCCATCTGATTGTCATAGTTGAGTTTAGGGCACGTTAGCGGTGGGCTTTAGGACGTAGCCCCTAAAAATCACCTCCGCCCCTTCTCCTTCTACCGTTCGTTATCTTCTGTGATGAACGCGCGAGGATCTGGGACGGACCGGGCTCCAGGTCTTCCTTTGATCCCAAAAAACACCAAAACCGAGCAAGTTGCGAGTTTGCAAAACTCGTGTAGGAACCGAGGTAACAAAGTGCTTGACCGCTCGACCGGGCTAATATCTAGTCCGCTTGAGCGGCCGAGCTTCTGGGTATACTTCTATGACTAAGATGGTCTGGCACTCCATCTGACCGAGCTAAAGTCGAGCTCGTTTTGCGTGACCGCGCTTCCATTTACACTTACTTTTACTACAGAGTCCTACGGGACCAAGCACTAACACCAAGGCTTTTAAAAGGCCGAGCTCCCTTTCTCACGAAACTTTGCCAACTAAAACTACTGCACTGAGACAGGCCGGCTTCACATGGGGCGTTACCGCTTCCTTGTTGACACGCCGGTCGCACTAGCTGCGTTCTGGGAAGAATATGTGTCCCTGCAGACGTACATCTCGAGCTCGGTGCCGAGGACACCAACCCATGGGGCAGATTGGACCAATGCCCCTTCACCGTGCTTTCCATAATCAAAGACGGCCTTCGCTTCCCTGTTCAACCTCTAATGTGCGAGTTCCTGAGGTGCACTGGGCTAGTGTCAACACAAGTTTCAACCAATACCTTCAGAATAATAAACGGGGTAGCCGAGCTGAACAACCGACTGGGCCTGAACCTAGGATTAGCCGAGATTCTACACCAATACACCCTCGGGCATACAGGCGATGGGCTAAACTACTACCTGAAGATTAGGCCGGGCAAGAAAAAGCTTGTAACCGGCGCCCTAGATAAAGATATGCACGATGATGACTTTTTCTGGGTGTTTAGAAATTATGAAACAGCCGATGTGCCCGGCTGATACATTAGCAAAAACTTCGGTTCGACATGTAAGTCGTGCTCACTGCTCGGTCAAACCATTTTCCTTTACTATTCTGTACTAATGCATTTTCTTCTTTTTCTCTTTGCATCTATCGAAGCCTTGCAAGCGAACTACTTCAACCCAAACGAGTCTGCCATTAGAATAGTGTTGCGGTATCGCAATCGAGACTGCCATGACCTTCTCGGCTACGTACCGAGCTACAGATACAAAACTTCCTGCCGGAGTAGAGTTACAAACTTTTTCTGAGCACCGTCTCCACCACCCCATCCAACACTGCCGGACGTGCCCCTAATCTGACTTATCGAAGAAGAGGAAATGGCTAAACGGAGTCGTATAAAAAATCTCATCACCGCCACATCCACTGAGCTGCCGAATATCCCTCCCTGTGCCTCGGATGCCGGCCAAACATCTGGGACAGTGATAGTATTAGCATCGACTGCTGCAGCGCAGGTTAGTAAAAAAAGTCGCCAAGCAGAAAAAAGGCCTCGGTCTGCCGATCCGTTAGCCGAGCTCGTGGCTAAGCTGAGCACCAAGCAGCTAGTTGAAGCCTCAGAGCCAACTCCCCCATGGCAGCCACAGCTAAAGCACCAGGGTAAGGAGATCCCAGCGAACGCCTCAGTCAAAGGCGACAAAGAACATCTGCTGGCCTTCGACCTAGTAAAGGCTCTACTTCTACCGAGCGACGTGTCTAGCAGCGACCACGTGCCCGACACCTAGCTCGTGAAGTCCTCGGTCAAGTCTATGACCCGGGTAAGAATTCGACATGTTTTATTCAAATTTGTTCAAGCGTTTGCACGGTTACTCTCCTTTTTTGAACACTTAACGCATCCTCTTGCAGGCCATCCAGAAGCAACATCTCGTGATGGA